GACCCTGGGATCATGACCTGAGCCGAAGGCAGACGCTTAACGACTGAGCCACCCAGGCGCCCCCAAAGCTCACTTTTTTGTAAAAAAATATTTTTTATTTATATTATTTTATATATTATAATATTTTATTTATTTATATTGTGGAGTGGCTCCAACTTGAGATCCAAATGGTAAGTTTTTTCCCCCAGTACTATTATTGTAAAATCCATCTCTTCACATTGATTTGCAATATTTGCTTAACATTTTTGTTTTCAGCTATCCTGTTTATGTTCTTCCAGATGAATTTTCACATCTACTGTGCTGCAGGGACCAATTTGTTTTTGACCTTTAGAAATTTGCTCTATTTGATAGAAGTGTGGCGTTCTCATTACTTCTTAAATGAAGAACTTCCTCGGGATATCTGAACAATTCTCTTGGGTGGAAGCCTGATGTCAAAACCCAAGAAAACAGAACCAAATTAAATCCAGCTTCCAAAGTGCTCCTGCCTTGTTGGGGTTACTATGAATGGCCTTAGGTCAAAATTCCAAGGCATAATTCAGGGAATGACTTCACAGTGTATATCCCCAGATCTCCTCCCAATACATAAATCTATATTAATGGAGATTTAGGCTTTAACCCTTCTAATCTTTTAGCTAGGAGCTGTCCAAAAGAACTTTCTGCTATGATGGAGATGTCCTATGCTACCATGTCCAATAAGATAGCCACTAGCCACAGGTAGTTATTGAGCACTTGAAATATGGCTAGTGCACTTGAGGAACTGAATATTTAAATTTGTAATTCTATTTAATTTAAATGTGTGTAACCACATATGACTTATTGGCCACCAGAGTAACTGTTAAGACTGGATCTTGGATCCAGTTTCCTTGGATCTCAGTTTTAATATTACATTATCATTGCTAAACTCAAAATACTTCTGACTTTGCCAGGCACTATACTCGGTGAGGTTAGACAGTCACAGTAAGACAGTTTCTATTCTAAGCTTACAATTAAAGGAAAGAAAAGGTCAGTTTTTAACCCAGAGATGAGCTAGATCGTTAAGACTCTAGTCTAGAGACTTGCCCATCGTGTTCCGCAGTAAGCATGAGCGGGGCAAGCAGGTACCGTGTCACTGCATCGAAGAGGAAGAAGAGCGGGCTTGCTTGTAGCAGAGTGGGTGACACGCAGGGCTTACAAGCAGCTCAGTTCCCTGCACATTGGAGGCCTGGCCGAGCAGCTCCGTGGAGCGGCTGCTCTCCCTTCTCTTAAACGTGGAAAGGAAGTGAGGAGGCCACGGGGCCCAGCCGGGTCTCATGCCACCTGGAATCTGAGGCCCGCCAACTACTGGACTGGAGCTGGCATGGACACGAACGTACCTCTTCCTATACTAACGGCACTCAACAAATGTGAAAACTGAAATGCGGGCTTCAATGGTGAATGGGGGTGGGAGGGAGGGTAACCGTGGGAAGGAGCGTGGTCAGACTGACAGGGGCTCCCTAGAGACAGAGCGGTGGAAGACCAGAAGAAAAGGAGGCAGGGCTCCCGTGAGGAGGGTCTGGGAAGACAAGGGCTCTTGGCAAGGTGGCCCCAGGGTGAGGGTGACAGGAGGTTCGCGGTCCAGGGAGCTGCTGTGGGTCGCCGCGGCCAGGTCACAAGATGGCCGCTGCTTCGCCGGGGCTTTCCGTGCCGGACCTAAGGGCTGGTGGTAGGTGCTGCGGCCCGGGGCAGCGGCAGGCGGCCCTGGGGGAGTCAGCTGCAGGGAGGGCAGGCTGAGGAGAGGACAAACACACCGTCGGAAGCAGGAGGGAAGAAAGGAAGCACGCGAGCGCGGAGCTGGGCCGCGCGCGCCGAGGGCCTTCGGAAGAAGGGGAAAGCCGGGGTGGGCTACTGCAGCGGGGAGGGGGCGGGAGGTCAGGTGGCAGCGCCGGCCAGGGCAGCGGGGCT